GCCCTACAGGAAAATTGAAGGGGAAAGGAATAAGAGAAGGGGAGGAGAGATAGAAGGGAGGGCAGATTAGGGGAAGGGGTATTCAGAATGCTTGCCATCTTGGGGTGGGGGAGGAACGAGATGGGGAGAAAATTTGGAATTCAAAATCTTGTGGAAGTGAATGTTGAAAACTAAAAATAAATAAAAAATTTTAAAAAAAAGAATCAGCATAGCACCATGTTTAGTCAGATGAAAAAACTGAGGCCCAGAGAAATAAAATGATGTGTCTGATGTCACACACACACACACACACACACACACACACACACACAAAATGTGTTGTTCAGTATTGAACCTCAGTACTATAGATATGATCTACCCACAGAAGATACAATTAAACTATCCTTGTATTATTCCTAGAATTTATACTATACTTGACTGATATAACCAAGATGAGCACATTGTTGACTCATATTCAACTTGTGGTACTCTAATGAGATATTTTTCAAACAAATTGTTATCTCACTATGTCTCCTTCATCTTGTACCAATAAACCTGATTTCTTTAAAACAATGTAATACTTTACATTTATCCCAACTGAATTTAGTCTTATCAAATGCAGTCCAATATCATAGGCTCTCAAGATCTTTTTGGACCCTGTTATCCAGTGTGTTGACCTTCCCACACACATCTGTGTAATCTTCAGATTTCATAAGCATACCATTTATAATTTGTCCTGGACATAAGTCAGTATGACAAACACCACTTGTCGAAGCATAGATCCTTGAGGCACTCCACTGGTCATCTCCTCCCAAGTTGACATTGAAACATTAAATACAGTGATGTGCAGATTAACTAGCACCAAGTAAAACAATTAAATGTATTTATTCCATAAGCCTTATAATTTTTTACATCTTTAAGAAACTTAATAAGCAGTATGTCTTTTTGTTGTAATCACATAAATTCACCGTCATTGTGTTTTATAAGATTTACAGGCTTTGATTCACAAGATTTTGATATATCTTCCTTGATTCTTCATGAAACCCCACTTTATGAGATTGAATATTAAAAAGAATCCATTTTTTTAAGTCTGCCCTTTATTGTAACCCATAGATTTTCCATGGGCTTTAAATCAATCCAGTTCCCAGGCCACTAACATATTATCACCATCTCTTGGATAAATACTTTAAGCTTTCATGATGTGTGATGTGACACAAGATTATATTGAGATGTTCAGTTGGGAATTTCCATGATTCTGTAACAATTCTGCTTTACAGTATAAAGGGGAGGCAGGTTGTATAACCTCAATCACTGTAATCACCGAAGGTCCAGACACTTCAATTGAGATAGTCACAGAATCAGTCAATAAATGGGCCCAAAATGTAATCACAAAGTGTACGGTATGTGTTTAGGAATTTTCCTACTATCTCAAAATAATATGTAAGTCCCTAATCATTTTGAGAGGATTATAGTGCTTTTGACATTGGATAAGGACAAATGAAAAAAATGACCCAGGAAGTATCTTATGTTTGGTTCAGAGAATCCCATGTGCCCTTTGGATCTGCATATTAAGAAACAAGTAGTCATTTCAGAATTTCACAAGTATGTCAGTAGAAGAGTTCTGGTTTAAAGTTTGTCAGTTTGAGAGAGTGTTACAGAAGTGAAGGAAAAATCAGGCTCCTAAAAGGGAATTGGAAGGGGGGGGGGAATTTACAGATTTTCTTCTTCCCCATCCCCTACTGACCTCATCATGAGAGAGACTGGGCCAGTAATAGGTAATGCACCCAATCTGGAGTAGAGAAACACACCAAGGACAGACAGTTGTAGAGATAAACACCTGATAAAGAGCACAGCTTTAAAAAGTATGACCCCTTGCACCAGAGAGGAATACAAACTACAGACTCAGGAAAAGAGTTCTAAACCATGAAGTATAAGGAGGTATGAATAACCCTTTGCCACATAGATATCCTACACGTGTGCCTTGCACTCTTCCCATGGATACTCTGTGTATTTGTTTTGTACCAATTATTCTTATTATACCACCTTAGTAGATACCTTTACTAAAAAGCCAATTCAATCTACTGGTTGATCATTAGTCTGGGAGAAGAGTTGTGAGCTACAATTGAAGAAATAGCCACCCACAGGATTGCCTCTAGAACCCGTTATAGGAGCCTCCTCTGGGGAACCAATGTATATATTCAAGTTGGGGGGGAAGGGGTAACCCAGAACAAGTGCTACATGAGTGTATCCATATGCTCATCAAAGTTCACTGATAAAATCAACTGGAAAAGGAAATGGCCAACCACTCCAGTATCTTTGCCAAGAAAACCCCAAATGGGGTCATGAAGAGTTAGACACAACTGAAACAATTAAGCAACAGTAACAATATCAAAGCTCATCATTCCCACCAATGGGGACAAGACTTCTAGGTTCACTAGAAGTAAAAAAAATCGCCAAAACAGATGCCCAGAACTTACAGGGTCACCCAGACTTCTTCAGAAAATGGTTTTGGAATAGCTCTGAATGAAAAAGGGAGTTTTATCATTAAAAATTACCTTTTTACAATCTTTGTTTTGTCTTGCCTCTCACAAGTGTCTTTCTGCATGGCAAAGGTCATCAGCTCTTTAGTTTGGTTTTTTGTTTTTACTGGTCTTCTCATTATTCTTCCATCTTCAGGAAGCCAGTGTTACACTCTAACAACTCCTCCAACTTGCCAGGTTCTTCTGGAAGTTGCTGCTTATTTTCTGAGGACTAACTATTTGTAGAAGTCATCTGGCAGGGCTGATGGCACTTTGCTATCTAGTTTTTTCAGACACCACTCTCTCCTGGTTCTCCTTCTACCTATCTGATTGCGCTTTCTCTGTCTCCTTTGCAGAATCCCTCCCTGCAGATCGTGTGCTCTAACCATAGGTATCTCTCAGGGTTCTGTCCTGGGGCTTCTTCTCTCCTTCCTCAATACTACTTCACTTGGTGATCTCATCAGTTCCCATGGATTTAATTACTGTCTCTGTGCTGTTGATTCTCACATCTGCCTATCCTGCCCCAGTCTCTCTGCTGACCTCTAATCTCACATCTCCAGCTTCCCATCAGACATCTAATACTAGATGTTCAGAGACAAATTAAATTCAATATGTTCAAAAACATTTATTCAAAAACTCATTTATCATTCCTGACAAACCTACCCCTTCCCCCCTTCTCCAGTCTTTCAGGATCCCAACCTAGGAGTCATCCAGGAATCCTTGCTATCTCTAACCATCACCACCCCATATCCAAGTTGTTTTCAAGGCCTGTTGATTTCCCCTTCTCAACATCTCTCCAATGTACCACCTTCTCTCCTCTGACACATTTTTCAGAGTAGGCCCTCATCGTTTCACACCTGGACTATTGCAATAGCCTGCTAGTGGATCTGCCTGCCTCAATTCTCATCCTACTCTAATACATCCTCCATTCAACCACCACAGTGATTTTTCTAAATCACAGGTCCAATCATGTCACCTCCCTCCCTGCTCAATAAATTCCAGGGGCACCCTATTGTCTCCAGGATCAAATACAAAATCCTCTGTTTGGCATTCAAAATGCTTCATAATCTAGGCCCCCATCTACCTTTTCAGGCTTCTTAAACTTTACTCCCCAATAAGTTTTCTTTGATCCAGTGACACTGGCTTCCTGGCCATTCCACAAATAAGAGACTCCATCTCTCAGGTCCAGGTATTTTCTCTGGCTGTCCCTCATGCCTACTGATTTCCCTGGCTTCCTTTAAGGCCCAAATAAAATCCTATCTTTTACAGGAAGCCTTTCCCAACCCCCCTTAATTCTAAAGCCTTCCCTTTGTTAATTATTTCCTTTTTATCCTGCATGTAACTTGCTTTGATTATACGTTTGCATGTTGTCTCCCCCGTATTAGATTATAAGCTACTTGAGGAGAAAGACTATCTTTTGCCTCTTTTTGTATTACTAATACTTAGCACATTGCCTGGCACATAGTAAGTACTTAAATAAATGTTTATTGATTGTTGATTGATTACTTGTGCTTTGACATGACTGACCTCGTTTCACTGTGGGCTTTAAAGACAAGATTCAATTGTCGTCCCATACACCAACAGCTGCTGAAATATTTCTAGGAGTTACTGATGCTGTTTAACAGCTATGGTTGTTGAACATTGCCTTGGAGTAATATCCATTCTTAAAGACCACAGAATTAAAAACACAACAAAAGAGAGCAGTTGCCGAAGTGTGTACAGCACAAAATCCAACACTCAGCTAATGGAGAACTAACTAAAGGTAGCGAAACTAGCACACCTGAGTTTTATTTGGTTAAAGTGAAATGTTCTGAGTCAGTCTAGCATTAATAGAAACACATAGGGCAGACAATTGCTGTCACATAATTAAACCATATCAAAATTATTATTTGTACCAAGTGATGCAGTGGATAAGAGTACAGGGCCTGGAGTCAGAAAGAGCAGAGTTCATATCTGGCCTTAGACACTTACTAGCTGTGTGACCCTGGGCAAGTCACTTAATTCCTGCCTACACCAAACTGGAGAAGGAAATGGCAAACCGTTCCAGTATCTTTGTCAAGAAAACCCCACGGGCAGTTGGTCCACGAGGTCATGAAGAATCAGATACGACTGAACAACAACATTCACACATCACTGTACTCTGAGTCTGGCCATTCAGTCAGTTCCTCTGATCCATTGGTCCGGTAGTCATCCAGGTCACTTGCTTTGACCTCGTATTGGCCCCCAAGTACCATACAATTCTGTTAAAATACTTCATAGTGGGAATATATGCTATTGAGAAGAGATAAAAAGTTTTTATTAGTGGTTTTTAGAGTTGTGAGATTTCAGTGGGAGTACTGACGTTGATTCTGGTATTGGTACTGTTTCAGAAGATCTGAATTTTTTTCCCTTTAAATGAGCTAAAGTCAATAAATCTTTGATGGGGATTGTTGGCATTAAAAGTTAGAAATCAAAATTCAGTAGTTTAATGTTTACAATTTTAAGTTATTTTAATCTTAACAGGCTCATCAGTTGGCATCGATGCAAACACAGACCAGTAATGGTGGTAATGTCAATCCTACTCCTGCTAATAATGAGGAAGAGGAAGATGAGGAGGATGAATATGATTATGACTATGAATCTCTTTCTGATGGTAAGAAAAGACTGCTATGAAGTTATTAGAGAAATATTTGAATTGTTTTCATTAATTTTTTTCATAAATAAAGCTGCCACGTGAATTAAGGCGAGGCAAGTTCCCTTTTTATAAAAACTTCTAGACTACAGTCACTTAACATAGACCAAGGAACATAACAGTAATAGCCACTGCAGTACTCAACTCTAGGTAAGGGATCAATGTAAGAAAATCTTTATTCTCTCCTCCAGTAGCGAAAACTGAGGCAGGCAGCGGTTAAGTGACCTGCCCAGGATCACACAGCTAGTGTCTGAGGCTAGATTTGAATTCAGCACTTCCTCACTCCAAGCCCAGCACTCTGACCACTGTATCAAAATGCTTGGTTATCATGGCAGTAAGCACCCTCCCCCATATAACCAGTGAAATCTCTCACTCCTACTCTCTAACCTACTTCTTTTACAATCCATCATTAGCTTTCCTTTCACTTTTCTTCAACTAGGGCTCATTCCAGGCCAATCTCTAAGCCTCCATTAGGTCAACCCAACCCTGGGGCTACATTCTGATGCTCTTAAATGGGCCTGGGGTTCGTTTTCTCTATGGCCTTTAAGACACAGCTTCTTCTCTTTTAGCCCCATTGTCCCATTGAGTTTCTAACAATAGCTGGCCTTAAAATACAATCTGACATAAGTTCATTAGAGTTATAAAATGAAGTACTGTGTACAGTGTCAGGGAAAAGGGCATTAATATGCCTGGAGGATCAGAGGTGACTTCAAGGGGTGGACATTTAAGTTAAACTGAAAGAATAAGTAGGAATTCCACTGGTAAAAAAGAGGGAGAAGGAATTCCAGGCAGAGATAAAATAGGGTTAGAGATTATAGGGGACTGCTGGGAGAGGATTCTCCCTCTCCTGATGAACCTTTGTGGCACTTGCAGTCTTGGACACCAAGACATTAAATGACTTGTCCAAGGTCACTATCAGTATCACTACTTGTATCTTAAACCCCTGCTCCAAACTTCTCTATTACTGCCCTCTTAGTCACACAGGATTGCAATCTGTCATCCTCTACACCTGTCCACACTTGCTCCACAAATCTGACCTTGAAGTCTTGTCATTTCTACCATCACATCTCTCCTAAGCATACCTTCTTCCCACTCACACAGCCACCACCCTGGTGCAGGCTCTCATCACCTTAGTTGGTCTCACTGCCTCAAGTCTGCTTACTAGACCATAGGGCGCCACTCAAAGTTTTTTAGCAGAAAATTGGCATGAACAGACTGGGGTGGAGGAGAGAGGGGATGAAAAGGTGGCAAAGTGGCAGAAAGAAAAAAGGCCCATTCAGGAGCATTTTGGGAACCAGGGACTGATAGAGAGGGCCTAGACTCAGCACTGTGGCAGGAAAAGATCCCTGGTGATACCTGAACTAGTACAGAGTAAAGACATTTTACTCAATATGATTTTCATGTGTTATGCTTAGCAAAAGAGACATTTAATATTTCTGCTTTTCTGTATTTGTTTGTGACATGTTTTTTATGGCCTAATACGTGGTCAAATTCTATAAAAGTGTCACAAACAATAGAGAATAGGCATACTCCTTTCCGCTCCCATTCAGTGTTCTCTAGAGGTTTAACAGATGTAATGCTTCTAAAATTGTATTCAGGTACTTCTTTTTAATTTATCGTCTGGTTTGATTTATCCAGATCTGAAATTCTCTCACTATTATAGTTTTACTGTCTATTTCTTCCTGTAATTCATTTAAATTTTTTTGAAGAGTTTAGATGCTGTGCCATTTGGTGCATGTGTGTGTAGTATTGATATTAATTCATTGACTATGGTATCTTTTGCCAAATTGTAATTTTCTTGTTTATTTATTTTAATTAGGTCTCTTTTTGCTGTTGTTTTGTCTGAGTTCATGATTACTACCCCTGCCTTTTTAACCTCAGCTGAAGCATAATAGATTCTGCTCCAGCCCTTTATTTGATGATCTTAAAAGAATAAAGAAATGTATTTTCTGTTTCAAATGTGTTTCTAATAAAACCATATTTTTGGATTCTTCTTTCTAAACCATTCTGCTAGCTTCTTCCACTTTATACATGAGTTCATCCCATTCACATTCACAGTTACAACTGTTAATTTTTCCCTCCATCCCATTCTTAGATTTTTTTCTCCTGTTTCCTGCCCCATCTTTGTTTGTTTTCCTTTTTAATCTGCTCTCCCCATTATCTTCCCCACCTCCTTCTTTAACCTCTTTCTTCTTGTTTACCTGTTAGGTGAAATGTACTTCTGTACCCAACTCTGTGTATGTGTGTGTTCTTCCTTCCTTTGACCAGTTCAGATGATGGTGAGGTTCATGGGTCACCCACTCACCATCCCCTGACTTTCTCCTCGTTGTAGATTTCTACTTTAGCACTCTGTTTATGTGATTTATATAATTTTTCCTGTTCTTCTTCTTCCTTCCTCACTCCTTCCCTCTACCAGTATATACCTCTTCCCTTCTCTTTTCTTTCTTCCTTTAAGATCATCAAAATATAATAACCCCTTTCAGGTCCTTACAGTTAGATTCCCTCTATGATCCCTGATGATGATGAATTCTGAAAGGATACTTGTATCATTTTCCTATATAAGAATGTAAACAATTTAACCTTATTTTGACCCCCATGATCAAACATCACTTATGTCTGTCTTTCAATGCTTCTCTTGACTCCTGTATTTATATGTCAAATTTTCTACTCAACTCTGGTCTTTTCATCTGGAATGTTCAGAAGTCCTCTTTTTTGTTAAAGGACCATCCACTCCCTGCCCCTGCCACCTCTGTATGATTATACTCAAGTTTGGTAGATAAGTTATTCTTGTTTGTAAGCCTAGATCTTTGCTTTCTGGGATATCATTTTTCAAAGTCTCCATTCCTTAATAGTGTTAGCTGATAAATCATTAATGATTCTGACTGAGGTACTTTGGTATTTGAATTCTTTCTTTCTGGCTACTTGTAAAATTTTTTTTGCTTGAGACATCTGGATTTTGGCTATAATATTTCTGAGTTTTTATTTTGTAGCTTCATTAAGGAAGTAACTGTCAGATCCTTTAAATGTCTACTTTACCCTTTGGTTCTGAGAGATCTGGGCAGTTTTGTGATTTCTTAAAATGTGATGTCTAGGCTATTTTTTTCCATAGCTTTCAGGTAGTCCAAAGATTCTTAAATTACCTCTCCTCAATGTTTTCCAGGTCAGTTGATTTTGCCATGAGATACCTAATTTTCTTCTATTTTTTTCAGTCTTTTGACTTCATTTTACTATTTCTTGATGTCTTGTGGAGTCATTGGCTTCTATTTAGTCAATTCTGTTTTTTTTTAAAAAAAAACAAGTTTTTGTTGACAACTTCTGTTTCCTGAATCACCATAGTCATCTCAAGTATTCCTCCCTCTCCCAGAGAGCCATCCCATTTAATAAATAGTATTTCTTAGAGAGGAAAAAAAAATCAACATAACTGATTAATACATTGAAAACTTCCAAAAACCTATGCAATGTGTAACACCTCTTACCTCCACGAAGGGGTAGGTTGGTGGTATCCTCTCATATATCTTTTCATTCAAGTTCTACTTGATCTATGTAATTTGGTTACATTCACTTTTGATTTTTTGATACATAGTTCTTTTATTTACATGGTTGTAGTTGTTATGTATATTGTTTTCATGACTCTGCTTACTTCACTCTGCAGTATTTCATATAGATCTTTCTGTGATTTTCTGTAGTCATCAAATACATAATTTCTTATAGGACAATAATATAGGCATTTCAGAATTGATGAGTAGCTACTTTGTTTCCAATTCTTTGTTATCACATAAAGTGCTGCTATGAATATTTTAGTGTATATGGGGAATTTCTTCTTATTGATAGCTTCCTTGGGTATAAATCCAGTAAAGGACTCTCTGGTTCGAAGGGTATGGACATTTTAGTTATTTGCATAACTCCAAATTGCTTTCCAAAATTGTTATACTGTGTCACAGATTCACCAATAATGTATTAGTGTTCCTGTCATTCTGCAACCCTTTCAACATTGACTACTGACATTTTTTGTCATTTTTGCCAATTTGCAGGTCATAAGGTGAAACCTCAGAGTTGTTTTGATTTGTGGAGTTTTTTTTAAATTTCAGTTATTTGGAGCATTCTTTCATGTAGTTGCAAATACCTTGCAATTCTTTTGAGAACCGTTTGTTCATATCCTTGTTCAGTTCTAATTTTTAGGGAGTTACTTTCTTGGGTAACTTTTGTATTTTTTGTTCCAAGGTGTTACAGGAATAGAGGAATATATCCTTTTTCTATAGCTCTTATTTCTTTTCCTATTTTTCTCCTTCTAACACTCTCATTTGTGTTTATTTGTTTTGTTTTGTTTTTCATTTTCACCTGGGCTGAAGGCTAGCGCTGAGTCCTTGCTCTGCTCCTGGGATCAGAGCCACAAGCTGATGTTTGCTTCTGAACTTAATCCTCATTTAGAACATAGGTAGTCCTGTCCTCTATCACTCATAGGTGTCGGTCTCCTCCTTTTTCTGTCCTGGATCTCTGCTCCAAAAGAAGGGAGTGGAATTCAAAGGTGGCAGATGGGATATGGAAAAAGAGACACATTATTGCATTGTTGATCACACTGTGAATGTCTAGTCGTTTTGAAAAGCAATTTGGAACTATGCCTAGAAAGTTACCAAGCTATATATATTCATTGACCAGCTATATACCACTAGTAGGCTTATATCTGAAAAGGATTTTTCAGAGGAAAAGGATCTATATGTACAAAAATATTTATAGCAGTTCATTTCATGGTAGCAAAAAATTTAGAAAATAAGAGGGGAGGGGGCAAGATATTGGCAGAAACAATGATAACATAAAGTACCAAAAAAATCAATAAAAACTTAATTTTAAAAATAAAATTAAGAACCTCTGGAGTAGAAAAAGATCTTGTTAATTGAAGAGATAAAAACAAACTATTAAACTAAATATAAAACAACCAACAAAGGGAAATCCTATTCTGGATCTGATTTTCATCAACAGGAAGGAATTGCTTATTGGAATAGTCATCATAGAAGCAGTGCCATAGTATATCTGATCAAAGAAATCCTGGTGTAATCTTACGTGTAACCTAGATTTGTGGCTCAAAATAGATTTTAGAGGTTTCAGAGAAAGGACATGTAGGATCCAATAGGCTAAAGTTCATCCTGGGAGAGTTAGGAAGCTCTAAAGAATGAAATACCAACAATGTTTTTTGTTTTTTTTTAAAATACAGTTCTGTTGAAAAGAAACAAACTGTTTAGAGACCAATGTGGATACACAGAAAATGACTTGACTTATAGTTTAAAAAAGAAATGTGCAAAAAGATTGAATCACAGGTAGATAATGGAAGATTGATATAATGTAAAAAGTATGAAAGCTTAGAATGAGCTCAAGCTGATGAGCAAGGCTAAGAACACAATGTATTTTCGCTATCAGAGTTGCCAGTTTTAAATGAGAGCAAATCTCTCTTGAAGCCATTTGTGAGCAAGATGGCCTTTTGACTACACATTCAAAAACCCTGGCCTGTAGGTAAAGAGAACTGATTTCTTTAGTCTCAGCTTTCCCACTGATACACTGTGTAATCCTAGGCAAATGACTTTACCTCTGTGAGCATTTCTTCATTTCTAAAATCAATTAGTTGGCCTAAATGATCTCTGAAGATACCATCTAGCTATAAGATTCTGCAGTTCTAACAGAGATTTTGAAAAGTGAGGATCTCTTCATACTCAGAAATTCCATGATCCCTGGATGGGGAATAGAATGTTTTTTTAGTTTAAAAGAAAAGAGCATGGGGGTAGGGAAGCAAAGGTTATTTCTCCTACATCTGCCTGTATACTAATTGATATATCTATTTCAAGTCATATGTTCTCACTGACTTCTATTACAATTTAAGTTAGGAAAAAGGTAATGAAGGGGCAGCTAGGTGGCACAGTGGATAGAGCACTAGCCCTGAAGTCAGGAGGACCTGAGGTCAAATCCGTCCTCAGACCAAATACTTGACACTTTCTAGCTGTGTTACCCTGGGCAAGTCACTTAACCCCAATTGCCTAAAAGTTAATTTTTAAAAAAAAAAGGTAATGAAAATACCACTGAAGAATCCCAGATCAACATGCACTCTGTCTTAGTCTGTGTATTAACTGCATCTAATTCTCCACCACAAGAAATGAGTTAAAGGGAAATAAGTCCTTTCATAGACGTAAATTTCGAGGCAGCTGGTAGCACATTGAATAGAGCATTGGATCTAGAGTCAGGAAGACTTGAATTCAAACAGATAGTTACTAGCAGTGTGACCCTGGTCAAGTCACTTAACCTCTGTCTGCCTCAGTTTACTCAACTATAAAATGAAGATAATAATACCAACTGCCTTGCAGGGTTGTTATAAGGATAAAATGAGATAATATCTGTAAGAAGTATTTAGCACAGTACATGGCAAATAGTAGGCACTATGTAATGCTGATTCCCTTCTTTCATACCTTCCCATAAATAATACCCAACCCACCGTAGCATTTTAGAGAACACTAAGAAAAGAGGGAGCCTTCATTCACTGAAGATAATTTCTAGAACTTTTGGCACTTTTTACTTTGGATCCAAGAAAGCAAAGTTAAACTTTGGAATCTGTGTGCTTTGCATATCCATTTAAAAGCAGTAACAGTAAAAATGTGAAGGAAAACTATCCAATATAATTAAATTCCCATTTGATTGAGAGTTTTCTCTGACTCTGGCCAGATCCCAAACAAATCACATATTTATGTTCTTGGCCTTGTAACCATATTCTTTTCCTTTACTGTAGTTATTTTCCTCCATGTGCTGAATGATTCCTCACCTGTCTCTGCATAGCTCCCAAGTCATCTCCAGCTAGGGTGATGAGAAAATAAAAACTGCAAATTTAGGCAGAACAAATCACATTTTTCCTGAGAAACCCTGGGATAAATCTTGGAAGAAGCACTGTAATATTGTGGAAAGAAAACTGAACTGGAAGTCAGGAAACCCTTTTTCTAGCCTCTTCTCTGATACTAATAATTAACAACCTTGTATAAATTCACTTCGTGTCTTTGAACTCACTTTTTTTATTGGCAAAATGAAGTGGTTGGACTAGATTGTCTCTAAACTCCTTTTCATCTCTTAAATTATATGATCAAAAGATGGGCAGTTGCTGAGAGAAAACTACAGAGAAAAAAATAAGAAAAAAAGTTTGCAGAGACAGGTCAATATGCAGTACCAATAATAGCCAGGAAAGTATAGACAGCAAGATTAGAAAGCTTAAAAAGGATAATTTATTGGTTATTTATCTAGAAGACCATCAGGAAATAGTAATCTGGCCTACACAAATTGAGAATTTAGATCTTTCTATCTCCTAGCTAGTCTCCATGGTTTGTTTGTAAGTGGGTAGGCCAGATCATTTTGACATAGATTTTAACCCAGGCCGTAATGTATATTCATACAAAGTCATATGAAGATGCTATTTTCTTCTGGTTAAATTAATCTGTTTCTGTGTGTTTGAAATGAAACAGTAGTTCATAGTCAATAAAACATGGCAATAGCTTTAACATAGGCCTCGTGTTAATAGATTATGCATTATCATGGAAAATACTTGGTAATGATCACTTTAATTATTTATTTATTTAATTATTAACACTTTAATTATTGCTAATCTTTGCCATGCCATATAGGAATTTGGAATTTTTAAACTATTCCTCATTTCTTGTGTTACCTTTTATTTGTGTCATTCTTGTCATTTAAACTCTGCTCAGCTCTTCAGTTTAATTTCTCTGGCTTTATGTCTTAATTTTCTTTACTTTTATCCCCTGTCTGACTCTGTTTTTCTATAGCAGATGTCCTTAATGCTTCTCCCGCTCCTAACAGTCAGGAAGGTAAAGGCCATTTGAATTGATCATTTTAACTGCATGAATTTCAGCATTGTATTTTAAACTGCTTAATATTGCTTAGCATGAAATTGTGGTACCTCTGCAAATAAGTATTAAAGAATAATTTCTGCATTTATTTTAGTACTTAGTAGCCTGCATGGCACTGATTTGGCATAAGAATATTTTGATCTACGCATATATGGACTGAAAATAGTAAAACTTTAATAAGATGCCAAAGAAAATGTTAATAGATGAGTAGGGATAAAAAGTGAATTTTTCACTAAAACTGTTGATGTTGCTTCCGCATAATGAATACAAATTTTAAAATTATTAAAATGAAAGAGTATCCGTCAGATTTTTTCAGTCTATTGACTGTTAACACTCTATAAGTTTTTATAATTGTGGAGCTACTCAACTTTGCCTCCCAACAATGAGATGTTGGAATATTTTCCAAGTTCCTATATTTTTTCCTGATTTTGACATTCTTGAAGCTAAAAAGAACTAGTAACAACATTAAATGAGGTAGATTAGAGCATAATTTGTATTCTGATATACTAGTATTTCAATCACAAAACCAGTATGGTCAGTCATTTTGCACAATATATTTTTGATACTATTCATCTTCATATAAAGGTTAAGACACATCTGCGTGATGACGAAACAACTTTCAACATCCATCGGTTTCTTAAACTAATCAATAGACTCAGTGAAGAGAAGCAGAGTTGCATAAGTGGTTAAAAATCTGGTCTTAGGGTCAGGAAGAAAGGAGTTCAAGTCCTGCCTCTGAAACATAGGAGCTGAGTGACCTTGGGGAGTCATTTAACCTTGCAGTGCCGGGGAACTCTCTTAAGACCGTAAAGCTACAGAAGCACATATTGATAGAGGAAGTTTCCTTATTGGGAGTTTCCTATCCCAATGATCCTTACCCAAAGGTAAGGTCCAAAAAAATAAAAAAACCTCAGTGAAAAAAGCTCATTCGGTCCTGTTTTATTTGCTGGAATTTTTTTTTATCACGAAGAGACAACTCAAACATGAAGGTATTTTCAGATATCAAGCACTTTTGTTCTTTGACCTTTACGTACAGTAAGATCTATTGTGGATCTGTAATTTTAGTTCTGTTATATTCATTGAAGGTATTTTAACTCGTTGCAGACAACATCCTGGAAGATCGACCTGAAAGTAAGTCAGCAAGTGACAAACTACAGTTTGAGTACAATGAAGAAATTCCCAAGAGGATAAAGAAAACGGACAACTCTATTTGCAACAAGGGAAAGGTAGTATACATATTTTCCCTTCAGCCCCACTTTGGCGTAAAACAAGATTTAATTAGTTGTCACTTATGTTAGGTCCTAGGTTAGGCTTAGAATTATAAAAATAAAAGAAGCAGCCCCTGCCTTAACGAGTTTATGTTCTAATGAGGGGAAAGACATTTGTGTACAAATATTTACAAGCCAATAACTAAATACTAAGGACATACACAATAATTTGTGTGGAGAGAGAGGTGAGACCCTAGCAACTCCTGGGATCAGGAAAGCTCTCCTGAAGGAAATGGTACTGCAGCCTGGTTTGAAGAAAGTCAGGAAATGGAAGGGAGGAGGGAGAGAATTACAGCTGTAGGAGACCAGCTGTGCAAAGCACAGAGCCTGGAGGTGGAACATCAGGTAAACCAGCTTGATAGGATGGCAAAGGTATGAAACCTGGAAAGGTAAGCTGGAACAGAATTGTGAAAGGCTTTAAATGAGAAAGAAAGAAGTTTGTATTTTATACTAGAGACAATTCGGAGCTATTTGAGCTTCTTGAGCAAGAAGGTGATGTGGATAGGCCCACACTATTGAACATATCTGGGCTCATAAGAGCCAGTTTTGATCCTGGGAGTTGGTTTCTCTTTTTGCTTCATTTCCCCCATATGGAATAGCTTCAGGAAAATCTAGTATATTCATGGTTTAGCACATTTCTAGTATAACAAGTATTTTGAAAGACTAGCTCACGATAACTATATATACATATATATACACATATATACATATATACATATATGTATATATATATACACATATATACGTGTGTGTGTGTGTATATATATATATACATACTGTGAGAGAGTTGAAATACTGAGAAAAGCAGTATGTACTGACAGTTTAAAAAGTCATTTGGGAAAATGGAATAATGTGAGGTACTTCTTCCTTTGGAGCCAAGGAAAAGGTGTCAGTTAAATCTCTGATCCATGAAGATGTGTGAGAAATCTGTGGAGAAGAAGAAGGTTAGGAAAAACTTCTTACTAGCTGGAAGTTTGGCATGGTATGAGCATGAGGGAAAGCAAGTGATTCAAGAAAGAGGACAATGTAAAGTTGATCTGGTTAATTATTAAGTAAAGATTGAGATGGGAGGAAAGCAAAGCCAGAGCAGGGCTGATAGCCTGAGAGAATACAGAAGAAGGTAAATTAGAGGTCCTAGTAAAAAACAAAGGATAGAACTAGGAGGAATGAGGCACAGTGAGAGATAAAATAAGATTATGGTTAGAGGAATTTCAGAGTTTTTGTTCATAAAGTGAAACAGAAACCGTGGAATAAACGGTTTAGGTCATGGAAGATGAGGAGATTGATGAAGTGGGCCAAAATATTCAAGGTACAGAGTGTATATTGAAAGCCCATAGTATAAGGAAAGTTGGGTAAGAATGGAGGGAGAATGACCAGGAGGCTGTTAGAGAACAGTTAATAGGATCTGGATAAAATGATTCTCAAATGAAGAGAGGTAAGTGAGTGAAGGCAATGGGAGGAGCAGGGGAAAGGGGATTTTTGGAAGTAGTGGTTGGAGGTAGGGAGGATACCTACTCCTGGCCCAATAGAGGGAGAAGGGAGGAAGATGAGGGAAGGTGTATCCAGTACTGAAGAGAATGACTATAGATTAGAGTCTTCAGGGAAAATCAGTTCTCAATGAGTGGTCAGTTCCTGGGAGGAGCACGAGAGGAAGGGGCCTAAGATGAAGGAAGGTTTGTGATAGAAGAGAACAGAGAGGACAATGAAAAAGGGAGGCAGGATTGAAATTCATAAGGGATAAGAGGATAAGAAAATTGGTAGTGGCATCAGGGAAGTAGCAACTGAGTTTTCTTCATTACCAGGATTAGACTTCTATCTCCAAGACCCCTGTGAATGGCAAATGGTGGCAGGTACAAGGGAAGAAGGAAGATTGGGTCTTTTACAGCAAGTCTTCCTGTAGATGAGATCCTGACAGCAAGAGATACATGGTCGATGTGAATGCTAGCCCGAGTTCTTGAAGCAAGATCCTATTGTCCAAAACTCATTTGTAACATTTGTGTAGCTGTTACATCAGGAGGCAGAGTGAATTGAACATCCAAAAAGAATGTCCATCTAAAATAGTCTGTTTTGCCAGTGCCCTTGGCTAGTCCCTGAAGCAATTCCTGATGACATTATACTCTCTTACCCCACCATAAAGATCTACCTTTACTTTAAGAATATAGGACATCCCACTTATCCAGTTACCTGACATGAATAGAGGCTTAATAGTGCTGTATATGGTTGCATATTATTGCATAATAATGTTGCATAGGGTTATCTTATTAAAAATCAGAATGTTCTAGTTATTTGAAATTTTGAATTGCACAAGATATGTATATATGTATATATGTGTGTGTATATGGAGAGAGTGAGAGAGAGTACTTTCAAGACCTACAATGTAAAATTCTGTCATTTAATAGGTTTATGACATGGAACTGGGTGAAGAATTTTATCTTCCACAGAATAAAAAAGAGAGTAGACAGATAGCCCCAGAGCTTTCTGACCTTGTTATCTACTGCCAAGCTGTGAAATTTCCAGGTAAGACTAATCTTCTCATTCTATTCCTTTAAGATGCTAAATTATAAAAAATGTGTCCTTTCATTTTCATCTTTATATGACTACTCCTTTATGTTTTGTTGAGTTGACACTGCTTATCATTTTCCAATGTATTAATATTCCCTTGGTTATCATCTCCTTCCACTTGGCAAAGAGATCAAGTTTTTCTGATTAATGTAGTTTCTTTTGTTTTTTGTTTGTTTTTGTTTTTAATTTATTATTCATTTATTTTTGACATTCTTTTTTTTCCAAGTTCCAAATTCTCTATCTCTCAGCCCTCCTCTACCCATTGTGAAGGCAAGAAATTATGCCAGCAGTACATGCAAAATCATACAAAACATATGTCCATATTAGCCTTGTTGCAAAAAAAAAAGAACCAGAAAAAATTATACTTCAATCTGCATTCAGTCTCCCTCAGTTCTTTCTCTGAAGAGATAGCATTTTTCTTCATTAAGTGTTTCAGAATTGTCTTGGATCATTGTATTGATCAGAAAAGCTGTCATTCACAGTTGATCATAGTAATGTACTATGTACATAATACAAAGTTAATTATTACTAAATAAATATTTTTGTACATATAGGTCCTTTTCCTTTTCCTTTTTGATCTCTTTGGCATATAGACCTAGTAGTGTTATTGATGAATCAAAGGGCATGCCCAGTTTTATAGCCCTTTAGGCATAGTTCTAAATTGCTCTCCAAAATGGTTGCATTAGTTCACAACTCCACCAGCAGTGAGTGCATTAGTGTTCCAATTTTTTCACATCCCCTCGAACATTTGTCATTTTCCTTTTCTGTCATATTAACCAATCTGATGGATGTGATGTGGTACTTCAGAGTTGTTTTAATTTGCATTCTTCTAATTAATAGTGATTTAGAGTATTTTTTCATATGACAATAGATATTTGATTTCTTTGTCTGAAAACTGCCTGTTCGTATCCTTTGACCATTAATCAATTGAGGAATGACTTGTATTCTTATAAATTTGACTCACTTCTCCATATATTTTAGAAATGAGGCCATTATCAGAGATACTGGTTATAAAAATTCTTTCCCATTTTTCTGTTTCCCTCCTAATCTTGTATGCATTGGCTTTATTTGTGCAAAAACTTTTCAATTTAATGTAAACAAAATTGTCCATTTTGCATTTCATAATGTTCTCTATCTCTTGTTTGGTCATAAATTTTTCCCTTTTCCATAGATCTGAAAGGTAAACTATTCCTTGCTTTTCTCATTTGCTTGTAGTATCAGCCTTTATATCTAAATCCTGTACCCATTTTGACTTTATCTTAGTATAGGTTGTAAGATGTTGATCAATGCCCAGTTTCTGCCATATATTTTTCTGGTTTTCCCAGCAGTTTTTGCTAAATAGTGATTTTTTATCCCAGAAGCTGGAGTCATTGGATTTATCGAATAGTAGATTAGTATAATCATTGACTGTTGTGTCTTGCATACCTTAAGTATTCCACTGATCCACCACTCTATTTCTTAGCCAGTACCAAATAGTTTTGATGATTGCTGCTTTATAATACAATTTAAGATCTGGTGCAGCTAGGCCACCTTCCCTTGCATTTCTTTTCATTAGTTCTCTGGATATTCTGGACTTTTTGTTCTTCCAGATGAATTTTGTTATTGTTTTTTCTAGTTGTATAAAATATTTTTGGTAGTTTGATTGGTATGGTGCTAAATAAGTAAATTAATTTAGGTAGAATTATCATTTTTATTATATTAGCTCGGCCTACCCATGAGCAACTGATATTTTTTCAGTTATTTAGATCTGACTTTATTTATGTGAAAAGTGATTTGTAATTGTGTTCATATAATTCCTGGTTTTGTTTTGGCAGGAAGATACCCAAATATTTTATGTCTACATGGAATTTCTCTTTCTATCTCTTGCTGCTGGGCTTCATTAGAAATGCCAATGATTTGTGTGGATTTATTTTATATTCTCCAACTTTGCTAAATTTGTTTATTATTTCAAGTAATTTTTACTTAATTCTCTAGGATTCTCTAAATATACCATCATATCATCTGCAGAGTGATAGCTTTGTTTCTTCTTTGCCTATTCTAATTCCTTCACATTCTTTTTCTTTTCTAATGGCTACAGCTAACATTTCTAGCACAATATTGAATAACAGTGGCGATAATGGACATCCTTGTTTCACCCCTATCTTATTGAAAATGCTTCTAGTTTATCCCCATTACATATAATGCTTGTTGATGCTTTTTTGTAGATGCTATCTATCATTTTAAGGAAGACTCCATTTATTCCTATGCTCTCTAGTGTTTTTAATAGGAATGGGTATTGTATTTTGTCAAATGCTTTTTCTGCATCTATTGAGATAATCATATGATTTCTGCTAGTTTTGTTGTTGATATAGTCAATTATACTGTTAGTTTTCCTAATATTGAACCAGCCCTGCATTCCTGGTATAAATCCTACTTGATCATGGTATATTATTCTCAAGATAAGTTGTTGGAATCTCTTTGCTAATATTTTATTTAAAAAATTTGCATCTATATTCATTAGGGAAATTGGTCTATAATTTTCTTTCTCTGTTTTGGCTCTTCCTGGTTGAGGTATCAGCACCATGTTTGTATCATAAAAAGAATTTGGTAGGACTCTTTCTTCACCTATTTTCCCAAATAGTTTATATAGTATTGGAATTAGTTGTTCTTTAAATATTTGATAGAATTCGTTTGTAAATTCATCTGACTCTGGAGATTTTTTCTTAGGGAGTTCATTGATGGCTTGTTCAATTTCTTTATCTAAAATGGGGTTAAGTATTTTATTTCCTCTTCTGTTAATCTGAGCAATTTATATTTTTTAAATATTCATCCATTTCACTAAGATTATCATATTTATTGGCATACAGTTGAGCAAAAGAGCTCCTAATTATTGTTTTGATTTCCTCTTCATTGGTGGTAAATTGACCCTTTTCATTTTTGATGCCAGTAATTTGGTTGCCTTTTTTTTAATCAAATTAACCAAAGGTTTATCTATTTTTTTTCATAAAATTAGCTCTTAGTTTTATTCATTAGTTCAATAGTTTTCTTAATTTCAATTTTATTAATCTCTCTTTTGGTTTACAGAATTTCTAATTAGGTATTTAATTGAGAATTTTCAATTTGTTCTTTTTCTAGCTTTTTTAGTTGCATGCCCAATTCATTGACCTCTTCTTTCTCTATTTTATTCATGTAAGCATTTAGAGATATAAAATTTCCCCTAAGAACTGCTTTGCTGCATCCCATGAGATTTGGTATGTTGTGTCATTATTGTCATTCTCTTGGATGAAGTTATTTATTGTTTCTATGATATTTTGTTTGACCCACTCATTCTTTAGGATTAGATTATTTAGTTTCCAATTAATTTTTAGTCTATCTTTCCATGGCCCTTTATTACATGTACTATTTATTACATCATGATCTGAAAAGGATGTATTTAATATTTCTGCCTGTCTGCATTGGATTATAAGGTTTTTATGTCCTGGTACATGGTCAGTTTTTGTGTAGGTGCCATGTACTGCCAAGAAAAAAGTATAGTCCTTTCTGTCTCCATTCAGTTTTCTCCAGAGGGCAACCATATTTAACTTTTCTAAGATTCTATTGATCTCCTTAACTTCTGTCTTGTTTATTTTGTGGTTAGATTTATCTAGTTCTGAGAGGGGGAGGTTGAGGTCCCCCACTAGTATAGTTTTGCTGTCTATTTCTTCCTGTATCTTCCTTAACTTCTCCTTTAAGAATTTGGCTGCTATACCAGTTGATGCATATATGTTTAGTAATTATATTACTTCATTATCTATAGTCCCTTTTACCAGGATATAGTTTCCTTCCTTATCTCTTTTAATTAGATCTATTTTTGCTTTTGCTTTGTCTGAGACCAGGATTGCTACCCTTGCTTTTTTCACTTTAGCTGAAGCATAATATATTCTGCTCCAGCCTTTTACCTTTACCCTGTGTGTATCCCTCTGTTTCAAATGTGTTTCCTGTAAACAATATATTGTAGAATTATGGTTTTTAATCCATTCTGCCATCTGCTTCTGATTTATGGGAGAGTTCATCCCCTTCACATTCACAGTTATGATTACTTCCTGTGTCTTCCTCTCCATCCTCGTTTATGCTTTTTTCTCTCCTTTCTCTCTTTCCCTCCTTAGTAGAATTTTGTTTTCTACCACTGCCTCCCTCAGTCTGCCCTCCCTTCTATCAGCCCGCTACCTTTTCTTTTACTTCCTGTAGAGTAAGTTAGATTTCTATACCTAACTGATTGTTATTCTCTCTTTGAACCAAATCTGATGAGAGTAAGGTTCAAACAATGCTCATCTCCCTCCCTTCTTTCCCTCTATTGTATTTGGTTTTTATGCCTTTTCGTATGATATAATTTATCCTTATCTTCCTCCTTCTTTCTTCTTCCCCCAGTACAATCCCTTTTCACCACTTACTCAGATTTTTTACCATCACATCAAAGTCAACTTAAATCCATGCCCTCTGTCTAAGTATACCCCCTTTTAAATGTCATAATGACATGACAGTTCTTGAGTTACAAGTGTCATCTTCCCGTGTAGGGATATAAACAGTTTGCCCTTATTAATAATATGCTGTTGTTGTTGTTGTTTTTGTTTTTTCTTTCCTGTTTACCTTTTTATGCCTCTCTTGAGTCTTGTATTTGAAGGTCAGATTTTCTGTTGAACTCTGGTCTTTTCATCAGGAAGTTTTGGAAGTCTCCTATTTCATTGAATGTCCTTCTCCTCCCCTGAAAGATTATGCTCAATTTTGCTAGGTAGTTGATCCTTGGTTGTAATCCAAGCTCCTTTATCTTATGGAATATTGTATTTCATGCCCACCGATCTTTTAATGTAGAAGCTGTAAGCTTCTTTGTAATCCTGACTGTGGTTCCATGATATTTAAATTGTTTCGTTCTGACTGCTTGCAGTATTTTCTCTTTGATCAGGTAATTTTGGCATTTGGCTACAATATTCCTTGGTGTT